GCAAACGAAAGGAAGATGGTTTTGAACAATGCTAACAAGCACTCATCTCACTCACCCACCTTTCGTTGGTATCCAGTTTCTGAGGCTCCACAAAAGAGTGAAAAGTCTTATGAAGACTTCACTCTAGTTCACTCTCAGTCACCAACCAACTCAACTACGCCCACTCTTTCTCTAGAGGAACTGGACGAATATGCGAACAAGGCAAATCTGCATGACATGACTGATGAGTTGACTCGTTTGGAGCTTCACGTGCCTTATCATTTTCTTTAAACAGTGTCTGTTTTTATCTATATGGCTTGGAGTATCTCTGCACGATTCATTTCAATGAAATTATCTACCGTTATTGCTGTTACTAATTGCTCTTTTGACCATGAATCTTTAATGTCAGACTATTTCTTTCGGGTCAAAGATAAAGCATTATCTCTTAAATGCATCAAATATGACAATGAATGCATGGATCTAAATGCTAATTGGCTCTACAAAAATCATAGTCTCTCCTAATGGTTAACCACTGCATAAAACATTGATCTTCATCTCAAATTGCTATAAAAAGAGGACATTGGTTTCACTTAAAAGCATCCCTTACTTCTCAACAATGGCTCCTAAAGTTTCAATTACCAGGAAAGCATCAAGGAGAACCCGAGCTCATCCAGAAGAAGATGAACAAGGCAATCATATTCTCGGCAACAATCCTATGAATCCTTTGAATATCTCATCTGACTCAGAAAGTGAGGATTTTGATGAACTCATCAAAAGATGTGCTGATGAAGATGCCAGATCCTTTGATCCCAATGAGGAACCCCCTCTAATTGTTAGAAAGGGCTTCTTGTCACTAGACTCCAGGAACAATCCCACTATGGATAAAGATTTTAGGGAGTTCTATCGAACATATGATTGCGAGACTGAGCTTGTTGGGTACATTGAAGGAGAATCTGATGAAGAAATGTATCCTCTCGAGGGACCATCTCGTCCAAAAGCCCCTACATCAAGGAAAATTCCTAAGGTCACTAGGGGCGAAACCAGTAAGACAGGGAAAGGGAAGGGAAAGAAATGAAAATCTTGTCGTTATTTGTTCAATAATCGTCCTTAATTCTGCATTTCTGTTCCTCTATGTTTCGTGCATTTATTAATGAAGTTTTTCTGGCATGAATCTCTGACTGTCTGATATTTGCATACATTGGAATCATCTCACTGACCTTGAAATTATGATATTCTTGAAAATATCCATTCAAAGTCTACTACGCTATTAATGGTCAGTTGAAGAAATGTATGGTCATAAATTACAGCACTGAATGCTGTGGGTAGTTTCGCATCGATATCTCTTCACGCTATACCTATAAAAGGAGGGACATATCTCACTCTTCTCTATCTTCACCATCTTAAAAAATGGCTCCTAAAAAGCGTTTTACAAGGGGAGATTCTCGCAAACAAAGAGAACTCGCCAGGAAAATTAGAGAAAAACAGGGAGACCTATACCCTGGTAACAGTCTTCAACCACCCTTGGAGGTCTCCTCCGATACCGACTCATCATCTCAGTATGATGAGATGGCTGGCTACATTGTTGAGGAACCCGAGGAAGCTCCTCCAGAAGAGGAAGTCCCTCAACAAGAGAAAAGCCCTGCTGATCTGCCCAACAAGTATTATGTCAAAGATTGTGCCAATTATCTCAATGAAGAAATCAAATCTGAGCGTAAAGAAGAACCCACTTCATCTTCGGACTCTAAATTTCTGCGTACCGGCAAATGGTACAAAAGAATGTGGGCAGAACTCAAGAAACCGAAAGCTGAGCCTCATGAGGATAAGGCAAACGAGAGGAAGAAAAACTAATCTTTTGGATTATGTATCTCATTTTCTGTATCTGTCTCTCTCGTTTGGATGAATAATAAAATCTTGGTTTCAATGATTTTAGTTTGAACTTAATTGAGTGATGAACGAAACTTTAGTTGTTTTTGTTCACACTTACCATAGAATACCAATGACTGGGAATATCTTTCTTGGAAATGCATATATTCTCTCAAGCGTGCTATTCGTGACTATGGCTAGTCAATCGGGTCACACCTTTTGATAAAATCTTATACTCTATATAAAGGACATTTTCGGGAAATATGGCTTCACTCTTCACAACTTATATCATCATGGACAAGAGAAAAGCAATGTCTCTCACAACCGAGAGTTTGTCTGGAAAAGTTAAATCCAAGAATGCTCCTCGTCATGAACCAGAGAATTCGTTGTTGGAGGATTCATCTTCAACTGATGGACCCACCAAAGTCTCAAGCATCTCTGAGTTTCTCTCGCTTGTAAAGATTGCGCCTCATCTTAAAAATGATGAAAAATACATGGCTATTTATGCTGCTGTTGAGGCTTGGGTTAAGGCTGAACTGGATGACATGGAAAGGCGAGGTCTTTCAAAAGACCCTATGGGCACCGACCATGAGACAATTGTGGGAGAAGTGTTCACTTTTGAGGTTCACAAGAAGGAATACCTTGATTATGCCCAACAGGAGAAAAATGCCGAGGAATAAAGACTCATGAAGCTTTAAACTACGAGAGATGTAGTGACAGTGCTCAATATCTTTGTCTCGTGTAATAAGACATCTCTCGGGTTATCTTATAAAAGTTTCGTTGTATGTTATGTTCATTAGACTTTATTTGTCTAATGGATCTTTCGTCTAGTAAAGTTTATCTTGTTTCGATTTTCAGTCGTACTTAAGAAGCTTCAAAATAAATGAATCATCTGAACCGTTAACACGTTTCATCATGGGGATCATGTGGCCGAGAAAAATGGTCCACTACCCCACAATCTCTGACAGAAGAATTGATGTGAATTTAATGCATATGCATGCAGTTGAGTGGATTTCTCTCTCTACATTTAATATGGAATGATCAAAACTGATCTGAGCATGATCTTATCATACTCCAATAACCAGATCAGTTACATTTTGAAGAAATGAACCGGTTGAAAGTTTGAAATTCAAACTACCCATCACTAAAATGGGTCACCCGTATTTGTATAACCGGAACCCAAGAAAACCCTACATAAACCCTCTTCATACCATTCCTCATCTCTTTTATGCACTCTTCATATCAAATCTGCCTTTACACCGTCACTACATTCAAAAACCTCTCAAATGGCGAAATCACCAAAAGCTACCACCTCCGAAGCTGAACCTGAAGTACCAACTACACTGGAGATACCAACCTTTCCCATAGATGGTATTGCTTTTATTGAATCTCGGACCCCCTCATCGTCGGAGGAAGCATGTGGGATGCACATGGCTTCCTGAAGTATGTCATCGATCGAGACTTCGGCGAAAAGATCATCACCTTGCTTAAGTTGGTTCCCTACGGATGTTGCACAATGTTACATGAATGCTTCTGTTTCTACGGATACTCTTACCATAACCTCAAGAGTCAACAACCAAGTAGTAACAGTCACATCGGAGGATATTAGGGCTGCCTATGAATTGCCTCAGATAGACGAGTCCTACAAGTCCAATCTTGCCTTTTATCACTATGATCAGGATGATTTTTATGCATCTATAAAAAACAAGCAAAGTCCAACTACAATCACATGGCCTTTGAAGAAGAAGTGGTTCCGTTTGGATTACGAGTTCACAGTGGACATCTTCAATAAGCTTGTCGAACACAAGACATCGGGAACAGACGATGTAACGAAAGAAAAGCTCAAAATGCAGCACGCATTTCTCTATGATCACAAGGTGGACTGGTTGAAAATTATTTTCAACAACCTCATACATGTCATCACTTTTAATAGAAAAAGCCCTGGAGATATTACGAAGAAAATGGGCTACGGGTTCTTGGTTAGTCACCTCCTCACCACAAAGAGAATCCCTATGAAACCAGGAATCAGGCATGGACCTAAGGCATGTCACATGCAGCACAAGCCCACTGGCTATGATAAGCAGAAAGCTTTAGAACTAGATATACCTTTGGAGCAGGTCAAGGCTAAACGGAAGTCCAAAAAGGCAAAGGATTCAGAATATGATCAGCCTAAGCCGTAACGACTGAAGAGGGAGAAAAACTCGCTTTGTGTTGAAACGAAAGAAGCTACTGATGAGGAACTATCTCCCACTCCGATAGCAAATCCAGAAGAAATGACAACTCGGACTCCACCTGTTCTATCAGTGGATCCAATCATTGTGGACCACTCTTCTGACGATGACAATATTGCTCTCTCTGTTCTCAGTAAAAAGGGGCAGATTAAGTCTCCAGAAAAATCGTCACACCTCTCTCAGCGAAGGAAGGTACCAGGAGGAATAAAGAATCTTCCCAGGGGGGAAGACAAAACGAAAGAGGTATATTCCCAGGGGGAAGACAAAACGAAAGAGGTATATTCCCAGGGGGAAGACAAGACGACAGAAAAATCTTCTCAGAGGGAAGATAAGTCGAAAGATGAGGAAAACCCGAAAGCAGCCTCCTCCGAGAAGAATTCAATGGCGAAAAATAAATCATCCAGAAGAAAAGCAAACTCCAAACCGTCCAAGAAACGAAAGCACAGATCCTCTTCAGAACCTCAAGATTCTATCTCTTTGAAAAGCCTCCAACCATAAGAACCCATTTCAATAGAGCGAACTTCTCCATGTTCGACACAAGAACCTGTTGTCATGGAAAAGGAGGTCAATCACTTAAGTCTCCCACAAGAACCTGGCTTGCCAGAAGAGACGAGAGAAGTGATTGCCAACAAGAATGATGATGTTATCCCTCCTACCGAAAGTTCCCTCCCACAAGAACCTACCCTTGCAGAGCAGGTACCGGGTATTCTGACACAAGAACCTGCATTGGTAGTTGAGGACAATCAGGTGATCCCTGATACGATCATTGATCCGAAAAGCAGTGATAACACCACCAGTAGTTGCGCCTATCCCTCCATCACCAGATCAATTCTTTGAAAGGCTATAGAGACTGACTACAACCGCGTAATGCAATGGCAGAAATAGCGCACAGCCGAAATAGATACTCTACTTGAAACAGCCGAAGCAATGAAAGAAGAAGAGAAATTTGCCCTAGAGTGGGTTGGCACGAAAGATGTCTACGAAGCACTCCGTCTTGAAACAATTGGACGAGTGTACTCTTATAAAGTGACCAATCGCACTCTCGGTAAGGATAAGGCACCCCTATGCATCGAGCTCAACAAACCTCCCTTGGATCCAGCATTTGAAGCAGAAATGAAGGAGCTTCGTTATGCAATGCTCCTATTGACAATCAAGACTGACTTAGAAAAATCGCACCAGAACGATCCCAATTGCGAAGTCAGTGCATCAAAGGACGAAAATGGGAAAGAAATAACTGATGAATCTGAGGATGAAGAAGATGCAGATACTAATGATGCTGAGGATGCAGACGATGAGGATGATGATGACGACGATGCTGATGATGATGACAATCAGAATGGGGGTAACACGAATAATGATGCTGCAATCCCCGAAGAATCCTCATCACACAACTCTTCCTCCCGAAGTGATGACAAAAGGGAAGCATCACTCAAGGATGACGAAACTTCAAACACTCAACCGGAAGACTTGTCTCGAGCTATCGTCCCTCATGTTCAACCTATGGACGAAACTCCTATCAAGAGAGTAGATGGAACTCCTCGTGATGACAAAATGGATGCCTCACCAATCCTGATAAGCTTTGCAAGTGGTGGCAAAATGTAAGCACAACCTCAAGCGGAACACATGGACACCTCCCCAACAAATATTGAAGAAGAATCTCCACCAGTCTCTCCACATCATGTCATGAATCTTATGAGAGAAACTGTTCACACAGCTGAAGTCATCCACCGAGAATATCTAACGCTTCGCCAAAGGGACACTCAAACTTTGGATGACTTATCTAAGAAGGTGGACCAACTGATGGCGGCTCAAGCTCAATCTTGCTCTCCACCACAAGAACAACCTCAACCACAACAACAAGCTCCGCCCGAACAGCAGTCTCATATTCACTTGGCAAAGAAACTTCATGAACTTCACACCGCTGTCGACAAGGTCGCAAAGCAACAACACGAACTCAAGCACTCGCATTTTAGCCTCAAAGAGCATGTTGATTTAGCTTGCACAAAGTTGGAGACTGCACATGACAATACCTTTCAAATGGGTCAGTATCTGTATCAAATTCTTGGATATGTGCAAGATACCTTTGCTGCAGTCAACAAGTTGTCCACTCCTCCTACCACTTGTGCTGATGATGCCAAAAAGGGGGAAAAGAGGAACCCTGATGATAAGGATGATGATCATCCTAGGGACAACTCGAGAAATCGCTCTCCATCTTTTGCACAGAATGATTCTGAAAGAAGAAGCACGAACCCTCCACCTTACCGAGATCATCAACCTTCTCAATCAAGATATCACTCATCTCGTGGTCATCAACAGTCACAACACTATTCTATCAAGCCTCGCCAATCGCTCGGCTCTGAGTCCAAATACATCTTCACTGGGTTGTCAAAGAGACAAAAAACGAGTCTAAGACAAAGGCTTATGAAAGATAGAAAGGTAACAATGGATGGCATGGGAAACTTTATGGATTTTATAACATATGAAGAAGGGATTGGGAAGCGATTTGAAGGTTGCAACGTTCCTGTGTGGATGAAGACAAAGGAGAACCACACAAGACAACATCATATAAGCTCTCAAAATGAAAGGATCAGAAGGATGAATAGAGAGCTATGGGAAAAACATGATGAAGATGTTCGTAGAAGAGAAGAATAACTTCAGGAAAGAGGGCGAGTAAAAGAACTGATCAAAGATCTCACGAAAGTAAGCCGAAGTTCTGAGCACGGAGTTATCTACAATGCAGCTTTCAAAGTACATGCCGAATCAGGAAAAAGCTACACAGAAGGAATGAATTCTTTCAAGCTTATCTCGTGGTGGAAGTTAGGAATTGTTGAAGGAGCAAACATTCTTGAAGCATATAACAACTACATAAGCCTCAACATAAAGGGAAAATATGAAGATCTGATTAGGGAGAATCAAATCAAACTATTCAGAAAACGAATCAATGAAGAGATTGACATTGACAGAATGCTCAAGGAGCAAAAGGAAAGAGACACTCGTGAAAATATGGAGGCTAAGCAGCAGAAGGCGAAACTTTTGGAAATGTAAGATGTTTACTTTCTGTTCTTCTGAAATTTCTTTTTGTAAGTTTATCTATCTATATGAAATCTTTCGTTGTTACACATCTCGTGTTACTTGTCTAAGTTTCTTGTCAGAGTCTTGTTTGATATCGGCACTTATTTAGAAATGACTTGTAAACTCTCGATAATGGTTGTTTTGAAATAAAGAATCCTTTATAGGACTTTTATCAGGCTTATAAAAAGAATATAGGTTTTGGCATCATCAAAAAGGGGGAAATTGTTAGGAACACTTGTATTAGGATTTTGATGATACCATTGTAACCTAGAATGTAGACCCCTAATCTTTGTTCTTTCTTAATCGCTGCTTTTGTCCTAGACGAGAGTTGCCATAACTCACACTGTAATTCGTGTTAAGCTAGTCAAACACACAAAAACGAGTTATGCTTAGATGCTAGGGCTATCAAGACGAAAGAAGACTCAAGGCACGAAGCATGAAGTCTCTAAAACGAAAGTTAATCAGGAGTTGTCATCTACCTCGAAGAGACAGTCTTATTTATGACAATCCTTAAAGACATTCCTCTTTTTCAATAACAAGAAGAATGTCTTCACTGTCTGACTTGACAACATCCTAGGAACAAAAGGACCTCCACATGTGGGACACGCATACCAAGGAGCATTAAATGAAGCTGTACTATTCTCTAAAGCTAAAGGACAAAACCCCAAGGCTATCCATGCCATCAACAGCTACAAGGTACAAACCTCATTAATGGAGCATTTAATGCGGGAAGCTCCCAGGTCCTTACCCACTGGATAATAGGTTTGAAAATACCATCTCCATCCAACGGATGAAATTTTCCTCACCTATATAAACCCACCTTCATAAACTAAGAAGGTGCTGGTTCTTATTACTCGATCTAACTATCAAGCAAAAGCTCTTAAACATTCTCAGTCCTTATCAAGCTTTTGCTAACCAGTGTTAAGGTGTGAAGATACTTGAAGATGTCCATTGATCCTCATCTTACACCTTGAAGAAGTCTTGCAACTTGTACGAAACAACCATCTTTCATTAGTCAAGACTTCTCCACGTTGGAGAAATTAGAATTCAATTTCTACCAACCTCAACTTTGAAGAAGAAGTTGATAGAGGCGGAGTAAACTCATGGAGTTGAAAAACCTGCAGGAAGCTGCCCGACTTAGTGATCAAGGAAGCTTCTTGTGTATTTGTACTAACGAGTGATAGTGCAAACCTTCGATAAGTTGTGGAAGAAGAGTGAAGTAGGCAAAGTTGGCCGAACAACTATAAAAACTCTCGTCCCCTTATCTCTTTACTTAATTTATTTACTTTCTGCATCATACTATCATTCGCGCCCAAACCGAAAGTTTCCTCAATAATGTCAAACCGTGCAAAGCAAGTAAAACGAATTCAACATTTCCGCTGCGCCATAACACCGAAAGGTTGTCATTTGGCGAAATACGAAATGAGTCTATTCACCCCACCCCACCCCACCCCCCTCTAGACTCTCGCTATAACTCTACTGGGACCAACACTCGGGTCACCTTCTTGGTTTGCGTTGCCTTCTTGGACTCCAGGGTTCTCATTCTTGGGTCTAATATGTCTTTCAAATCTATACACAACGTCATTTCATATATTTTACTTAAGTGTATTTAGGCAATTTTATACGCATACAATTTGTACGTACGTGATTTAAATCTATTTACGTAAATGCAGGCAGTTCTCTGTTCTATATCTAATAATTCGTAAAAATTTAATTTATGTAGACAACTGTACGCTTAAACAATTAATAGTATTACAGATACTTGTTCAAAAACAGATATATGCATCCCACAACAAAGTCCTTTCATAAATGATCGCCATTCCAATCTTGATTTGCAATAACCGCTGATCTACAGAATTATAATTATGATTATTAGTAAATTAATAATTAAGTAATTACATGAATATATACGTTTTTTTAGTACTACTTACTCTATTACAGTGTAGTATCTGTTCATATATACTTTGTCAACTTATTGAAGCACGAGTCAATGCCCCCATTGGAATTGAGGTGTATCGCACTACAAGCTGCTTAATACATATATACTATTAAAAACAATATCCATTATGGTAAATTAATTAGTAAACACTTGTAGCGATTCAAAATATATATAGGTGATGGATTATATGAGAATAAGTTCTTAAGAGAAAACTAAGAACTAATCTCAGTCTTACATCTGAAAAAATCGGATGAATAAGATCTTTATGACTGAGATTGGTTCTTAGTTTTCTCCTAGTGGTGTGTTCTCATGGAACATAGCTAACTCTATTGGACTTTGTAGCAGCTGATCCTTGGACAGTGAAGTTCAAGGCAAGATGGTGGACCATTGTTATTTGAATGACTTCAAAAACCAATCTTTAATATAAAATAATTACTTAAAATATGTCAAATTAGAGCGGCGTGGTGGAAGCATGGTGGGCCCATAACCCATAGGTCCCAAGATTGAAACTTAGCTCTGATATATTTACATTTTAAATGTCTTTTAACCTTAGCTTTAGTGAATAATAATTGTTGAATTACAAATTAGTACACTGAATAAGATATGTGTGTTATTAGTTTCTTTTTAATATGAAATAGTACAAAATAGGCCACACTTTCTATGAGTGGAGTATGATTTCTATAAATACCTAAAATGTTAAAAGTTTGGTTCTTGTTAATACCCTTTTGGTTGAACCGCTTTTATGTGCAATTAAGTTGATCCAGTGCACACTCTCGAAGTAGTGGCTACTAATGGCTTGCATGACAAGGTGAATTGGAACCCCTGAATAGCCAATCACACTGCCTCCCATGGCGTGACTAGCATAACATCTTTCTAAAGCCGATAGGACAAATGTCGTATTGGCTTTCAATATTTCGATAGGGCCAGTTGAAATTACTTCACACATTTCATCGTGTAAAGCCAATAAGTGTACCTGCATACGAGCTTTCTAATCATCAAATTTATCAAGTGAGGTTCTTCTACATCTCTCTTAGTTCCTTCAAGGTAATCAGCCACCAGGCTGGTGGAGTCCATTACAAATTTGCCCTCATTGAAAATGTTATTAGATGAGATTTGAACATCTTCTTCTAGTTGCTCATCTCCTTCAGATTCTCCCTTGCCTCCGAAATTTCAATAGTGTCTCCAACTTCTTATGATTTCTCCACTCCTTCTCAAACAACTGTTGGAACATCTATTCCTTTCGGACCAACTAATTCTGATCTCTCTATTCCTCCCAGAGTAACTTCAGCTTGTGGCTCCCCTCAACCATTGACATGGAAGACTATCCAAACGCCACTGTTAGATTGCCTCATGTTCAACTTTGGAGAGATGGATGACATCTTCTATATTTCACTGATCATAATTTTCCTCGTTATCGTCGTCAACCTTTTTGGATCAAGAATTCCTCTAAGGGACTAAAGTTTTAAATTTTGGAGTGAATTTCTTCTCCAATACTTATTGATAACACGTATTCTTTATTTATATTTTACTCTAAACTTTAGCCTATTTTGTGCATAAAGTTCCCCGAATCATGTGTGCATATTGACACTTA